GCAGTCGGAAAGATTCGATGGGAAAGAATGGGGGCAGTGAGTTTATGTTAATGAGGGAGGAACAGCTCACAAAAGGAGGCTGAGAATGGTTGTACCACTGGAAGAATGTCATCACCATCCCTGAATTGTTCATCTAGAAAGTGTTGAATTGGTGCAGGTTTTGCTGTGTATATCCTCATCAAGAACAATAAAATAAAACAAAAAAGAAGAGGACATCCTTGGTCACCCAGTGGGGTGCTGTGAGTCAGAATCAATGTGATGGCAGTGTGTTCTTATGGGAATCAATGGTGGACCTTTAACATCTTTGTATCTTTTCTTATCCTTATCAAACAAATGTAAATCCCGTCTTTGAAACCTTCTGGTGATTTAGCGTGCTTTAGAAAGGTGGTTAAAATCAAACTTGGAGCTCAGCCTTACTCTTGAGTGAGTTCTGTTCTGTTTCAGGAACAGTTGCAGAAACTTGAGGTTGAGCTGCGAGAAGTGACAAAGAACAAGGAGAAATTGAGGAAGAACTTGCTTGAACTGATTGAGTACACGCATATGCTGCGAGTGACCAAATCTCTCGTCAAACGCAACGTTGAGGTACTGATGCACAGGCGGGAGGGAACGCGTTCCTTTATTAAAACCTCATGCCCCCAAGGCTGCAGGCTTTGTTGTCTGTTCATTTAGATGTGCTACTTTTTTTTAAGATAAATTTAGATCTCAGCTTCAGTTGTTCAGTTGGAATATATAGACCTATAAAACCCTTTATGAGCCATTTCTTGCGTTGGTTGGTTTTGACAGTAAAAGAACTTTTTATCTGTAAACTTCTTTGGTTTGCAGTTGAGAAAACATTTTTTTTTTCAGATCATGAGGAAACATTGAACAGTGGAAGCTGAACTCTAAAATTCAGTGTTTCCCAATTGCTTGGAGAGGAGAACATTGCTTGCAAAGCTTGTGAAGCTGTGCTACATAGGAATAGTGAGTGTGTGTGTGGCAGCACCGTGCTGAGCCAAGGGTGGAAGGGAGAAGCCCAGCCCTTCTCAGCTCAGCTCCCTGATGAGGTACTGACCTCTACACAACGTTGCTGTCCAGGGTTGAGCCAGTGATCTCCCTGATAACTGTTCCTTCATGTGAGCGTCTTCATGTGACTTGCCAGTGAGGGATGGGGAAGTTCGTTTCCTACTTAGCAGAGCTGAGGTTTGTGCCTAAGTAATGGGCCCCCAGATCGAAGGAGTTAGGGACCGTGCCCTGTAAGCTTGTTTGGAAACATGAGAGAGGCAGTGTTGCTTTTAATGAGACCCACTTGGTTTTATATGTCTCTTTGTAGTTTGAACCCACTTATGAAGAATTCCCTCCCTTAGAGAATGATTCTTTACTGGACTACAGCTGCATGCAGAGGCTGGGAGCGAAACTGGGGTAGGTGACAGCGACGGGTGTCAGGCCTCACACTATTGGGCTTGTCCGGAGGGGTGACTGGGACCAGATGAGAACAAGCGAGGATTTGTTTCAGGAGGCACTGATTCCTCTGGGTGTTGACTTGAATTACTCAGCTGTGCTGGCTTTTCAGTCAAATACGATGGTTGTAGGTGCCATCAAGTCAGCTGTGACGCATAGCAACCACACGTGCAACAAAATGACACACGGCCCGGTCCTGTGCCGTCTTTGCTGTGTTTGAGGCCCTCATTGCAGCCACTGTGTCA